CCCCCCCCCCCCCCCCCCCCCCCCCCCCCCCCCCCCCCCCCCCCCACACCCCCCCCCCACCACCCCGATAGCATCAGCGCAAGAGCATTTGGGGCCCCCACTGTATCTGGTAGTGTCTCCCAGTCTGAAATCGGCACCAAATAAACACACGGCGCTCACTGGCCGCGACCAGCGCCGATGGGATTGCAGTGCGGGTCGGGCGCCTGTTTATAAGTTAACCGTCGCATGGCGCCAGCTGGCAAAATCAATTCCCTTCATGCCGGGTGTTTGCACTGTGTGAAGTGTCACGTGTCACGTTCTGAGGTCACCATAAGCTCAACGCATTCAGGGTCCTGTGCCGGCTGAGCTCTCGCAGCAAATGCGACCACCATTTGAGGTGCATCTTTGGGCTTTGATGTTAACCTGTCTGCGCGCGTTTCTCCTGCAACGGCCCGGCGCAGCAGTGCATGCTTGATGCAACCTGAGAAGCAACCTGCCTCGCCTGCAGGCCCTGACGTCTATCAGGGGCAAGTCGTAGCGCCGAAGCCTGCATGCAGCCGAAAGTGGGTTTTTTGTTTCGGGGGGGGGGCGGGTGCCTGGCGCATGTTGGAACCCTCTTAAAAAGCCGTCGTGAGCTATGTGCATTTCTGGATAGTGGTGGTAAATATGGGTCGAACTCAGCCTGGGTTTGCTAATTAGGTAATAGAGCTAAATAGGTCCTGGAGTGTTTGACACAACGCCTTACCCTAAATGAGGTCCCTGCATGTGCTCGTTAGTGGGACTGTGCATTCAAGGGCGCAACTCTGAGCACACGCTGCAGTCCCTGCGGTTAGTGCCGTGTGCCTGGCGCAGCTGCTGGGACAAAGGACAGAGCGCGGTCTGGGCGCGCGGCAGCACTGTTGCTGCTCTTTGGTGGCGTCATGTGATCCGGCTGGGAATGAATCATTCGCCAGGGACAAAAATAGAATCGGATTTTGCAACCTGTGCTCGCCAGTAACACGTTATTTTTGCAGGGGAAGAGACGGCATGAGTGATGTCATCAAAACAGGGGGAAAGTCTGGGGGAATCACGTCCTTCTGCTGACAGGCGCCGATTCATGTATTTATCTGAGGAACTCGGTCTGTGCACGCAGCGTCGTCTAGTGGAACGAAATGGGGAAAAGATTTCGAAATGTCCATGGCCCATTTGGCAGGAGTAACTTAAGTTTCCACTGAGTTCTCCAGTTTGTGCATGCTGTTTATCCAGCAAATGCTGTCAGGTGCACTGGCTCTTTGCAGTGACGGCCTGTGTCTCCCTTGTTTTGTGCCTTGTGTTTCTTGGGATGGAATCTTCCAAGATCCTGATAAATGTTACAGATAACCTGGGGCAGAATTGTTGAGATTCTTGATGATGTACTAGATAAGCAGCTGGATGCATGAACTGCACTGAGGTACAGCTCATCAGAAGATATGAATACCACGCTGATCAGATGTCTGTGCGAGACTTTCAGCCTTAATCTTTCGCCGGCGGAGGTCAAGATTTATTGAGCTTACCAGAAGCCACTGTGTCTGGCTTTGCTGCGAGACCCTTAAATAATCTCACCGCAGACGTCGTCTTAAGGACAACGCTGCTTAATGCAGCCCTTAATGCCTCCCTGCATACAGTGAATGCGTCCATTTGCATGGTGGGATCAGGTCCTGCTTCACTGTCGTTTGCAGACCTCGGATCTGGCTTGCAGTGCTGACGGGTGCTTCAGCCCCCAGGCCTTACCTCACTGTCCCACTGCACCACCTTCATGCACGATTACAGAACACAGAGCTGTGGGCCGTACCGTTTGGCACATGTGACGGCGGCAGTCGTGCTATTTATAAACGGCCGAGTCCAGCTCGACTGCGTGCAGTTGGTGTGATGAGCGCTGTGGTCCTTCTTACTGATTGTTAGATATGTGTATAAATGTCAGCTGTGCTGCTTTCTCCGCATATCTGCTATATTGCTTGTTACTTCATAAATGCACAGTACACTTCATGCACTTCCTATTTCACGCATTCATTTTTATTCTGTGATATGTACCTCTGCGGTCCCTAGTTTTAGGGCAGACAGGGGACAGTTATTGAACGGTCAGTCAGTTGTTCAAAAGCACACAGTAGCCTTCATGTAAAACTCAAGTTCTCCTGAGCACCACTGATGTTTAGGAAACTAGTACAACTTTGCTTTGAAAGAGATTTTTTCCCCCATTGTGTCTGTTTTCTGCATTTTATGAAAACGATTGTGCCCAGTCTCCCCTATATCTACCTTGACATTGTATGAGTGTGTTTTGTCCTGCCTAATCCAGTCATGTTACACGTCACAGACTCGATGACTTGAGAGAATTCCTTTGTGCTGGTGTACAAAAGGCAAATGATCTGGAATGTCCGCAGACGTGCACTGGGAACTACACCTTCATCCCGTACATGGTGACGCCCCACAACAAGGTGTACTGCTGCGAGGGGAGCCTGCTTAAGGGCCTGACGGAGCTGATGCAGCCTGGCATGGAGGCGCTGCTGGGCCCCATCTGCATGCCCCTGGCGGACCGCTTCATGCAGCTGCTCCGCGTGCCGCCCGCCAATACCTGGTGAGTGTGTGCAGCCCGGGCGTCGGTCGCGTCGATTCCAGGCGCAGGAACTACAGCGCCGCATGCCATGCTGTCGGATCAGTAGGTTAGGAGGATGTGCCTGTGATCCCCGGAAGGTTGCAGGTTCGAATCCCAGGGTCGGCAAAAACATATCACCCTTGGGTCCCTGGGCAAGGCTCCCAATTGCTTCAGGCAGGGGTGCCACTAGCAATTTTGGGTCTCATGAAAGTAGGTATTGGGCTCCCAACCCAGTCCAATCCCTATTATGTTCCAAATCTTTAGGGCTACTTTCATTCAGGGACCCAACCCCCCCCCACCCCCCCACCCCCTTTCATGGCACCCCTGACCCACCTACATTGCATCAGCTAAATAAAATGTCAATTTAAAAGCTGCACGAATCATGATCAGGTGGCTGGTTCTGGTTCAGTGTCCACCGGATTCACTCAACAGTAGCTACGAATGAGAGCGTTTATGATGCTCTCTTAGCAGCGTAATATAGAAGGTACTGTTCCGTGTGGGAGGGTTTCGCTGAGCTTGCCTCCGTGTGAGAAAATTAGGGGAATATAGTGAATGCATTCATCTCCGGAGGCGGCCGATTCGTCCGAATCATTTAATTCTGGAGCAGATGTGTAGCGGATCCCCCTGAACGTACAGACCGCCCAGCTCTGGCAAGAAAAGTTTATTGGTTTGTATATGAGCATGAAGGAAACGTTACATACCGTTCCCCAGACTGGGGCCCGCGCGCATTGCCCGCCTGCTGCCTTTACGGCTGTGTCGGATGCCCTCTGGGAAGAGCAAAATGGGGTTGTTTTTAATGCGGGGTGGAGGCGTTAGGATTTATGAGGTTTACCATGATGCGGAGCGCCCCCTGCAGTCAGTAATGAGGCCCGCCTGTCGGCATCGGCGGCCAGGCTGGGTGCCGCGGCTCTCGGCCGCTCTGCAGCCCCGTCGGCCCCCGCTCTCCTCGCTCCCGGCTTCGGTGTCCCAGACGAGGCGAGGGCGGGGTCCCAGCACTCCCCCCGCTCACTTGTGGCTTTTCCACCGCAGCCAGTACTTACGGGAAACCATCCTGAACGAGATCCGGAAGGCGCGGGAGCTGTACACGGGGGCGGAGCTAGCGGCGGAGCTGGGCCGGATCCAGCAGCGATTGGACAACGTGGAGTGCCTGTCAGCTGACGTCATCATCAACCTGCTGCTGTCCTATCGGGACATCCAGGTACAGCACAGTGACATCCATAGAAAACATTAATATTATCCCTAAAAATATTATTTTCTTATTGTGGGGGTGGGGTGTGGCTCTGTGGGTTAGGAGGCCGTCCCTGTGATCGGGCCCCTTGAGCATCAGGCCCCTGAGCAGGGCCCCTAATTCCCAGTTGCTCCAGGGACTGATTCACGCTGCTTCCTCAAAAAAAAATATTATCGCTTTGGATAAAAGTGTCTGCTAAAAAAAATAGGAATTCTTAATGTAAAAAAGAGCACCCCCCCCCCATGCCCACTTGGTCATCGTGGGTTTCAAAACCATCCTGAATTTCGTACTTGCTTCCGCTGGTCTAGTGTGTCTGAAATCGACTGGCAGTTTGCCGGCTTTGGCGTTCCGATGCCTCGGCGAGGCCCGGGGACGCCTGTACTGCCTCGGCGTGTAACTCGGCGTCGCCTGCCTAGCGAGCCCTTTTTCCGCCGTGAGTCAGCAGGACCCGCGTCCTCGTTGAGGCGGCAGACGGCAGCCACGCCGCGTTGCGGGCCCACGGCGTTCAGCAGACACATGAATAAATAACATCAGCGGGGAATCAATGAGAAGCGCTGAATTATTTAGCGTTTTACAATGAATTTTTGCCAAAAATAATGTTTCTTCATGTGGCAGGAGATTGAAGCGTCTTCTAAGGTAAACACCATGACGTGCACTAGGAAAAACGAAGAAGGGATGAGATTAAAGTAAACACGGAATCGTGTACCAATTCAGCAGCCGTGTTCTTCCGGGTTAAATGTCTGTTTCTGGGTCGCTGGCGGAAAGTGGTGTCGGATTGTAAATAATCAGTTCTGCTTTATTTACACGTGTTTCGGGAACAAGGATTACGAGGCCATCGTTAAGCTGGTGGAGACTCTGGAGAAGCTCCCTACGTTCGACCCAGTGGCGCACCCCCACGTGAAGTTCCACTACGCCTTCGCCCTGAACAGGTACCACCCAGCTGAAAGAGGGACAATTGCATTCTGGGCTCAGGCCGCATTAAGGCAAGCTGTCCTTTAACCCCGAATCCGCAGGAGAGAGCCACAGCACAGCCGCGGGATCTCCGTCAGGTCCGCGGTCCTCCAGAAGGATGCTCACTGCTTTTGTTGTCGGGGTGGACTAGAACCGAAACAGCGGGCCCCACCATGCGTATGACTCACACGAGTTGGCTCAGCTCCCCCCGACCCCCCCCTTGAAGACAGTGGCCCCGTTTCAGTCACTATGACTGTACACACAGCACCACAGACTTGACAGATGGGAATGTGCAAGTGATTTGGGTGAGCCTAGGCTCAATCAGCACTGACCTCGATATGCTCTCCGGGGAGCACGGTCCAGGCACCATCCAGTATAGCTGCGAAATCCATTCCTCTATGTTTTGTGAGTGAGGGAGGTCTTGGGTTCTGACCCCACACACCTTCCACAGCAGTCAAGGCTCTGAACACCCATTACGCCGTGGAGGTCCCCCCCATCAGCACAGGATCTACTTTGCTGGCCTCTCCTCTCAAACAGACGCCCTCAGTAATGTCCGCATCATGATAACATTGCACTACAGTCAGTTTAATGCCCAAAATTCATAGCAAGTAAATCCACAAAGTCTGGAGATGTGTTTCTCAGCCCAGTCCTAGGGGACTGCCAGACGGTCCATATCTCTCCTCCCTCCCAGCTCCGCGCCCGGCCGGATTGCGAGACGGAGGTATGGTGATTAGCACATGGATCCTGATCCAGTCCTGTGTGGACACCCTATCTGCAACTGTTTTTCCATGAAAAAAAATACTTAAGTGTCCCAGTCAGCCCCATTGAGACCTTTCATTTTCAAACGCACAATGTAGTCCACCCTTCCGTTCCGGTCCCCACATCCTCCTAAAAGAAGCAGATTTAAAGGAAAGAAGAAAAAAAAATCTCCATTTCAGGCAGCTGTAATCCAGTCCAGTGCACAGTGGCTGGAGATTTGCCAGCTGGAGTAGCTAAACCCCAAAACCTTCCAGTGAAGTAAAAAAAAAAAGAAACTGTGAGTTCAGCCTGACTGAAGTCCAGACACCCTACCACGGTAAATCTGTGTCGTCCTTTTCAGGAGAGGCTTGTTGCCGTAAATGTAAACCCAGTGTCTAAACTTCAGAACAGCATCGGTGTCCTGTGGAACAGCCTATACCCTCCGGCGGTTATAAATAACGTCGTCTTCAATTTAGCCACATGTTTTAGTTCTGTTTAAGTTACACAGATGGAAAAAATGTGCTAATCACAATCTAAGCTCGTACAAATGTTTCCACAGTAACAGTCTATTTGCTGTGCGTCGGGTTGGATCCACTTTTGTCTGGTGTGACGCTTACGGTCAAGGCTGGTGGAGCTCAGGTAACGGCGCTGTCCTGTCGACCCGCAGGAGGAACCTGCATGGGGACAGGCAGAAGGCGCTGGACATCATGCTACCTCTGGTGGAATCCGAGGAGCATGCAGCCTCCGATATCTACTGCTTGGTCGGCCGCATCTACAAGGACATGTTCTTGGATTCGCACTATATGGACACTGAAAGCAGAGACAACGGAATGCTCTGGTCAGACACAAATGCCCGTCGTAGTTTAAATCTGAGGCACCGTTCAGCTATTCACACCAGCAGAATACCATCTAAACGTAGCTCTGACTTTGCAACTCCTGTCGTAACTACTGATGGATTGTTCAGTGTTCCAGAGTAGTTGCACAATAATAATTTACAATTGAACCCCCCCCCCCCCCAGAGAGATCAGTAAGCTAACTGGGGAAACTAGATTTTCATTTTAGACGTTGTTGCTATTTTGTTTTTGGTTAATGAAACGTTAATAGGAGGAATGGAGAGGTTGATGATGATGGATTCGGTGTGGTTCTGCGCTCACTTTTCCGCTCTCCAGGTTCAAGCGGGGTTTTGAGTCGGAGCCAACACTACATTCAGGGATAAACTACGCCGTACTGCTCCTGGCGGCCGGACACCAGTTCGACACATCCTTCGAGCTCCGCAAAGTCGGTACGTATGGGGATGGTGACACCGGTGCAGCCTCAACAATCGCGCTTGAGGATCAGTATCTTCTCTCTTGTGAAATAGTTAGGTTTGTCATCATTCAACAATATCCTAGACCCAGTGTCTTATGCTTGACTCACATTCTGTTAGCATCACCAGTACTGGACTCCTTAAGGTTGATTCGCTCTCTCTTAGGGTCACCAGTTCACTAGAATCCTTGTGGTTGACACTCTCTTGGTTGGCTTCACCAGTCTTCCAGACCCCTTCAGGCTCCCCTGCTCTCTCTTAGGGTCACCAGTGCACTAGACTCCTTGTGGTTGACACTCTCTGGGTTGGCTTCCAGACCCCTTCAGGCTCCCCTGCTCTCTCTTAGGGTCACCAGTGCACTAGAATCCTTTTGGTTTACTTGCTCATAGTTTCCATCACTAACCTCCTAGACCTACGTTCTCTAATTCTGGTGCTGGACCTGCTAGAATCCAACACGGCACTGACTAAACCTGCTCATTAGCTGATAAGATGTGTCTGAGCAGGGAAATCTGCAAAGTGTTTTGGATTCTGGCCTCCAGAACCGGAATTGTCCCAGACCAGTGTTTCTCAAGTGCTGGGTTGTTAACCCATTTTCGGTGACCCACCGAGTCTTTGATCTTTAATAAATGGTTACTCCCCCACCCCCAATCAAACAAGCTTTTTGGGCCAAGGCAAGATGCAGAATCTGGGCTAATCCAGTTGAGAACCACTATCCCGTCTGTTAGTCACCAGTGTACTAGGCCCATTTAGGTTGACCTGCTCTCTGTTGGTGTCACTAGTACACTAGACTCATTATGTTTTGCCCAATTTGCCTTACAGGTGTGAAGCTGAGTAGCCTTTTGGGGAAAAAGGGCAGTCTGGACAAGCTGCAGAGCTACTGGGATGTGGGCTTCTTCTTGGGAGCCAGTATTCTTGCCAACGACCACACCAGGGTTATCCATGCCTCTGAAAAGCTCTTTAAGCTCAAGGCGCCAGTTTGGTGAGACCCTCATTTGACACCACATTTTTTTAACCAATAAACTCTTCTGTGCCACTTTACAATAAGGCTACCCTTATAAAGGGATTATGAATGGTTTATAAGCAGGTTATTAATTAGGTTGTAACACTTTGTAAATCATTACTAGACCATTATAAACAAGTTATAACACAGTTTTCTTCTTATTTATGAGTTACTACCATTTGTAAGTGGCAAAGGGAGTCTTATTGTACAGTGGTACTAGCTCTTCATAGGTGTTTGCAGAAACTGGTCAAAACTGTCATTCTTTGTTTTTCACCTTCAAGACAAAACTGCAGAAGTTTAAAAAATGCCCTTTTTACGAAACACTTCCTTTGACACAAATAGCGTCCGACCACGGTAAAAATACTCAGGGTTTGTTCGTATCAAATCGCAGGTATTTGCGATCGCTTGTAGAGACGATACTGATCTACCAGCACTTCAACAAAACTCCCGCGGAGCAGCAGTCGCCGAAGCAGGAGCTGGTGGAGTTCTGGATGGACTTCCTGGTGGAAGCCACACAGCAGGAGGTCTCCTCCGTGCGTTTTCCAGTGAGTGTCCCCTCTCTTCCCTCCCTCCTCCATCTTAATAGCGTTCTCTCACACTGGACCCAAATGATAAGGACAGCTACAGCTGGCGGGTCTCCACGTCACAAAGCCGGCTCACTTTATCTAACTTCAGATTCCGGGTGCCGATCGAGTTCCATTTGATTCATGATGATTCAAATCGCAGCAATACGCACATTCAGTTTGGGGGTGATTATCTTGCCGGCTAATGGCCTATTGTCTAGTTCACATTCAGGCAGTCTCATCGCATCACATGTAAACTGCAGTCGTGAAGCCTCAAGACCACACAGTGAAGAAAAGGAAGCGGATATTGGCACGTCTTTCATATTTCTACGGGAGCAAAGCTTTTCTTCATCTCTCTTTATTCATTGGCCCCAGCACATGCTTACAACATGAAGCAACCAGCAAGAGTCCTGAATGTCGCACGTGTAAACAAAGGCATCTATGTGTTGTCACTCGCTCCATGTTTGTCTCTCAGCTCAGAGACACCCATGCCAGATGTATTTTCAGCTTCTGTCACACCCCACCCCCCCCCCAGGTGCTGATATTGGAGCCAACTAAGATCTATCAGCCGTCCTACTTGTCTATCAACAACGATGTGGAAGAGAAGACCATTTCAATATGGCACGTGGCTCCGGAGGACAAGGTACGGTGTGTTGATCTTTCCTTTGCCTCTTTTGTGTGAGAATGCAAAATCTCAGCACGCATGCAATCGCTTCCGTCTGTCATTTTAAGTTCCGATGTGTTATTTTTTCTCTCTATATATATATATATATTTCTTCTATATATTTCTACTGATACTCTTCTTCTTTAAAGACTTGAAAGAGGTGACCGATCTATTTATTTCATTTATGGTTGTATATAGCGGAATGGAAAATGTTGCAATGTTTCAACTGAGGAAGTGGATGACTGTCGTTTTTCTGTCTGCCCCGTACAGCTGTGCTCTCACATCACTTCAGTCCATTTTCAGTTTTGTTTAGAGAAGCTAAGTTCTGGCTTCTGGCCCAGCAGTAACATCTGCGGTTCGGTCCGGCACGCCCGCTGGCGACCGCAGGAGCATGTTGGGCGGTACTGACAGGGCACGCTCCCTTTAAATGCTACTCGATTAACATCTGTCTTCGCATCTCCAGCAGAAGGGGATCTACGAATGGAACTTCGCGGCCATGCTGGTGCGAGGTGTGAGGTAAGAGCGCCGGGCGTCGGCTTTGCGCTGGCGGCGCCGCGTGATTCGTGGTCAGCAAGTCTGCGTCTGCCAATCAGAATTCTCCATTGTTAACCACGCCCACTCACCTGCTGCATCTGCTACATCTGATGGTGTCATAAGGAGTAGCCAATGGCATAAGATCCCAGGCCTATCATCCCGCCTCCTAGTGACATCCCTGGGGGGGGGGGACGTTCCACATGCCACATGCTAGCGCCCTCCACCTAATCCCCCGCCTGGGTGTAGTGCCTGATCCACAGGATTATGGTGGACTTTGGGACCCATGAAGTTGGTCTGTCTGATAAATCAGGTTAAAATCCAGTCACTTTTATAAAATGTGGTCAAAAGCAAGGCTTTCAAAAGAGAGGAAGCCTGTGGTCTGTTGGAGTCAGGTGTGGGTCAGGGGGTGATGAGGCAGGCAGCCTCGGGTACTGTCACTGCCGGCCACCGCCTGGCCCTGCCAGCTGTAATGCAGCGCCGCCCTCAGAGCCACGTGCCCCCAGAAGCCCTGAGCCACTTCCTCTGATGCAATCTCACTGCGTCTCCGCAGCATTTCCAAGTTCGACGAGCGGAGCTGCTTCCTCTACGTGCTGCAGCACTCTGAGGACTTCCAGATCTACTTCTGCACCGAGAAGCACTGCAAAAGGTCTGACATGCACAGCCCTGCGCCCGTCTGGATATATGAAGGGCAGCCACTAGCCCCCCCCCCCCCCCCTAAATTCAGAGCTGTGGCTCTAAAAGGGCCCTAATCTCTGAGAGATTTAGTAAATGAAATTATGAAAAGTCAGAATAGGTGCTTGTTAATGTAATAAAAGGTAAAATGCGGCTAATCGTGTTTATGAATTTCTGGATATATGCTGTAGTGTCATTGATTTTACGGTTCAGGGCTCAGGGTGTGCATTTTTGTTTGTGTTTGCGCGTGAATGCACACGTGTGGCGTCTTGGTCCCACGAGAGCGCTCAGATAGGCGCTGACTCAGCCCTTCTCTGCAGGTTCTGCGACCTGGTGAACAGCATCACGGAGGAGGCCCGGAGGGCGCCGGAGGAGGGCGAGTGCGACCCTGACGCCCTGGAGGTGACTGAGACCGGGCCAGCTCACAGACACGGAGCAGTGTGGCTCTCCCACCCGCGCGTCCTCGGGGATCCGTCTGTCGCGGAGCGCAGCGAGACGTTTCCAGCTGCCTTCGAGCGCATCTGAAACAAAGGCCCCCTCTGTCTCTCCAGCCTGTTCCCCTCTCAAGCGGGTGGGGGGGGGACGTGTCCCTGCTTATTTGAATGAACCAAAATTACAGACTGTTCTAGTCTTAGTCACTCCACTTTTGGCAAAATCTGAATAGTGCTACAACGGCTGAGGCTGAGCCGCAGAACCGGTTTGGAGCTGCCCCCCCCTGCCCACCCCCAGAAGGGGTTCCCTGGGTTCCTGCCCCCTCATCCCTGACAGTCTCCTCTCTGTAGAATTCTCCATTTCACTTCCTGTATATATTCCTGTATGTAGCTGTCTGTGTCCCCGAATCTCCTGCTTTGCTTCATCAGTCCTTATATACCGTGTCTGTCACCCGCTTCATTGTCTTGCTGTTAGACACATTCTCCATGAGGCGGTGTGCGGCATTATGCCTGTGATCGGAAGGTAGTCGGTTCTAATCCCAGTGTCGGCAGAGTGATGTCACTGCCGGGCCCCTAAGCGAGGCCCTTAGTCTGACCCTGACGTGTTAATTGTATGTCACTTTGGATAAAAGTGTCTAGTAAATAAATTAAATGAACATGATGGCCCCTCCTAGTCAAACTCATTGCCCTCTCTCTTTGCATCCCTTACCCCTTCTTCAGTACGACTACGAGTACGACGAGCACGGCGATCGGGTGGTGCTGGGGAAAGGCACCTTCGGGGTGGTCTACGCGGGCCGGGACCTCAGTAACCAAGTGCGGCTGGCCATTAAGGAGATCCCCGAGCGGGACAGCAGGTGAGTGGCGCTGGGCAGAGTGCCGGGGTGTATCCGACCCCACCGGTCTCCCAGCATTATCCCAACCTGCACTGGGGGGGGTTCTGTACCCCCAGGCCAGCAGCTCGAGCTGATTTGCTGTGGGGCTTATCCAAAGTGCAGCGCTTGCTGTATGATCACAGGACATACATAACCTACATGCCATGTGGCTTAGTGGGTTAGGCCTCTGTGCCTCTAATCGGAAGGTCGTAGATTCAAGCCCCGTCCTCCACAGAATAGTCACATCTCTGTTGGGCCCTTGAGCAAGACTCCAGGAATGCCAGATTAATAGCTTGACTCTGTGCTCAGACCACAAGCTTCGCTCAACTGTATTTGTGTACGTGTTTGTCTCAAAGGAAAGCATGATGGGATACGTGAAAATAGGCATTCCGATGTACCTGTACTTGTGTATATGACATATAAAGCGTTATTTTATTTCTTTAGGTACTCGCTCGTATAACTCTGTGCTCCTACAGGGCTCTGCGCATCACAGCAGGCCGACACGTGCTGTAACGCGTCGCTGCATGACAGGCCGACTGAACGTCGCTCTGCGTCTGAGATGCGGCAGTGGAGGGCATGCACACGCACGTCCCTCGCACAGTCATGCCGGCGAAATCACGGCCACACCCTCATTCTGTCGCTTTAGACACCGCCATGATCGATTTACTTAAGAGGCGGAAGAACGGGTAATGCGACGAACGTGTAATGCGACGGCATTCCATGCAAATTCTGTGGGCACCTCGGTTTTTATCACCGCGGTTCGAGCGTGTGGGGTCCGCGGGAAGCGGTATGCCGGGCTGCTTACAGCCGGACGGGCGGCATCAAGATCTGCACACGTGGGCATATGCCCTCGGAAAACAGGACGGACAAAGGAGAAGGGGTTGCCTGGCAACTGCCTTGGTGCCTCTTACTTCCTCACCTTGTCAGACTGGAAGTTGTCGTTGCGTCTGCACAGAGCCACCTTAGGGTATTTCATCTGGAATATTCCGCCCGCCGCGTTTTCCTAAGAATAAATGACGTAATTATAGACAGGTAGAAGCCTCAGGGCTCTGGAAAAATATACAAAGAATGACAGTTTAAAAGACGGCATTTGTAGTAAGTAGGGAGTGCAAAGCACAAAGGTTTAATTTTGTTTTTGTTTTTTTCTATATTGGTCCTGGTATTTAAGAGGCCAGCCTGCCTCTGCCTCCACACCCACCGGCGTTGCCGTCACCGCGAAGGTGGTGGAATTAGGCGTAGAAGACTTTGAAACCTGGAGCTTAGTCGAGTGTCCAATTCATCTCTTTTTTTTTTTCCTCTGCATAAAACCTTGTGATGTGTCTGTCCCCAGGTGCACTGTGGGAAAGTTGTGTACAATGAAAAATAATTTTTCCGTTCATGCCGGTTTATTTCCCCATCTAATGCTACCAACATGAATTTATGCAAAAAGAGACCAGGAATGGTATATACCAGGGTTTCTCAACCCGGTCCTCGGGGACCACAAGACGGTCCATGTTTTTGCTCTCTCCCAATTCCCTGCCAATTGGGAGAGAGCAATAACGTGGACCGACTTGTGGTCCCCGAGGACTGGGTTGAGAAACCTTGGTATATACTATATGGGTAAAAGTATTGGCATGCATACCAAGACATTTTGGACAGTTCTGTGCTTCCAGCTTTGTGGGAACAGCTTCTGGATGAATGGGCAAAAATTCCCACTGATGCACGCCAAAATCTTGTGTAAATCCGTCCCAGAAGACTGGCAGCTGTTATAGCTGCAAAGGGGGGACCAACTCTATACTGATCCCTCTGGATTTAGAATGGGACGTCACAAAAGTTCCTGTAGGTGTAATGGCCAGGTGTCCAAATACTTTTGTCCATATAGTGTCCATTAGCTGAGCGTTCTTGCACCTGCTTTGCGTTTGGTCAAACCCGTGACCAGTTAACGGAGCAGCATTGTGGCTTCCAGGTACTCACAGCCTCTACACGAGGAGATCGCTCTTCACAAGCACCTGAAGCACAAGAACATAGTGCAGTACCTGGGCTCCATCAGTGAGAATGGCTTCATCAAGATCTTCATGGAGCAGGTTCCTGGAGGTAAGTTCAGTGTTGCGTCACTCTCCGGGCCAGTGTGCCAGTGTTCCTCTGAGACTTCTCTCGCCTCTACTGGTAGGTGGCCTTTTTTCCCACGTCCACCCCCCCCTCCCCACTGCCCCCCGACGAGCTGTGAACCCAGTCGAAACTCTCAGACACTAACTGTTCCTCCTACGTGATGTTAACTCATGCCTAGCCTTGCTTCGGGTAATTAATCACTCGCTGAGGGTGTTGTGATGAGCTTGTGGTTTGTACATGCCGTCTTCATGACTGCGGCCGTGATGGTCTCCGGTCTCCAGGAAGCCTCTCAGCCCTTCTGCGCTCCAAGTGGGGACCCTTGAAGAACAACGAGCCCACCATCGGTTTCTACACCAAGCAGATCCTAGAGGGGCTGAAGTACCTGCATGACAATCAGATCGCGCACAGAGACATTAAGGTACAGTGTCAGACGGTCCGGACCGACTTCTAGCGCACGAGGAAACTGGGGATTTTAGTTCTGCCTTGTTTGAGTCCTGCTCAGTAACGTTTTGACAGCCATTCTGTAAAATATCGATCGTGGGGTTTTTTTTTTTCTTTCTCAATCCATGTTTTTGACAGGTGATCTTTATTATGAATAGAAAGCTTTCTCTGATCTCAGCTTTCTAGGAAACGCGTCCGGGCAGCAGTCTGGTGAATTCAGCCTTTCAGTGTTGTTTGTTTGAGGAGGGGGGCAGGCCCGCACATGTCGAGAAGCCGGGCCTCTGCCGTCGCTGCCTCGTTCCGCCCTGCGTCTCCTGCAGAAACAGTACAAGGTGTTTTGCTTTTTTTTTCTCCCCATCCTGCAGGGGGACAACGTGCTCATAAATACGTACAGTGGTGTCCTGAAGATCTCCGATTTTGGGACCTCCAAGCGGCTTGCCGGGATCAACCCCTGCACGGAGACGTTCACAGGCACGTGCACGACGTCCCCCAAGGCCCAGGCAGTCACACTTAAATGCTCCTCCTGCTTCTGCAGTTCACTCCGATTCCACTCTCTTGTGTTTCCTTGTGACCCGGGAACACGAGCACTAGCAGTTCTTGTGCATTAGCTGCTAGCTCTGCATGTCCCCCCCCACCCCGTTCTGTGATGTCCGTGTCAAAGCTGCAGCGAATCACAGTGAGGCTGGGCCGGTTCCAGGTCAGCTGACTCACCATCTTAATAACCCTTTAGTGGGTTTATCTGCTGCTGCTCTCCTTGTGAGCTTCAGCCGGAGCGGTTTCTCTGGAAGCGGCCCGTCAGACCTCAGCGTGGCGCAGCCTGTAATCAGAGACGCCACGCTGGAGAAGCCCCGCCCACCACACGCGCGTGGAGGCTGCCGCGCCACACAGAGCCACCGAGGCCTTCGCCATGCGTGATACTATAGTGTGTGACTGAATCCTAGACAAGTGCTGGAACGCCATGTGTGTGTGTGCGGGGGGTGGGGGGCATGTATATATTACATTGTGGGGACCACTTGTCCCCACTATGTGATAACCTGTTATTTTGACCTTGTGGGGACCCAAATCGGTTTCATAAAAAACTGTGACTGCTAACAAAAAACTAAACATTCTTGTGTTTAGTTTGGTTGCTTATGGTTAAGGTTGGGGAGGGGTTACGGTTGTCACAGTTGGAGTTATGATTATGCCAAGAGAAATGAATGAAGAGTCCCCACAATGCTAGGAACATATGAAATAAGCGTGTGCGTGTGCCTATGGCGTGTCCTTACCCCCGTGTCGCCTGTGTGCCTGGCCGCGCTCTAGGCACCCTGCAGTACATGGCTCCTGAGATCATAGACAAAGGCCCCCGCGGCTACGGCAAGCCGGCCGACATCTGGTCCCTGGGCTGTACCATCATCGAGATGGCGACGGGGAGGCCTCCCTTCCACGAGCTGGGGGAGCCGCAGGCGGCCATGTTCAAGGTGAAGCCCCCCCCCCCGCCCACCAGGCCTTCAGACACAGGCCATCTTTTAAAATACACCCAACATCTTCAGTCCTCAAGTATGTATCTCTTTATATCATGTAGTGAGAGTCCAGATATCACAAATGCATAGTTATGTTGTTATTTTTAAGTATTATGTTGTTTTTTTGATTGGGAGGTTTTCTTTTCTTTTAAATGCATAAAATTTGACATGCATGCATTTCCAGAGCACAGGGGCCTGTATCATGAAGCTGGCAAGATAACTTGCCGGGTTTAAGGTAGCCTGTGCTTAGTGAATGAAGATAAAGTCCTTTTAAAGTGGGACACCTTAAGTCTGGCAAGTTATCTAGCTAACCGGCAAAACTCGCTCCGTGACACAGGCGCCAGCTGTCGATGACAATGAGAAGAACCAGATACCCAGTGACAGAATGTAGCCTGATCTGTAATCCCTGCAAAGCTATTTCAAAGCGATTTGCCAAACCCACAAACTGAAGCTGTGTACGTGTGCGTGTATTTATTTTAGCTATAAGGAACCTGGTAGCTTCCCAAAAAAAGCATTAAGGGCACGGTTCCTCCAACCAGTATTTATTAAAACCGCAAGCTTAAATTATATGTTCCTGAGTGATATTTCTTACAGTGTATTATTGACAGGAGCTTATGACTTCTGAGAAATACTTTGGTAATGAGATGGGGTTGGTTTTACAAGGATATGTTTGTGTGTTTTTTTTTCCCTCCATTAAATGCATTTTTTTGTCCCCATGAGCTGGGTGCTAGCGGGTCTGCACCAAGTGTGAGTGTGAGCGAGAGTGCCAGTGTGAGTGTGTGCATATGAGTGTGAGCGAGAGTGCCAGTGTGAGTGCGAGTGAGCATGCAAGTGCAAGCATGCATCTGCCCTGACTCCCATAACCCTGTGAAATGTTCACCTGTTTCACTGTGCCTCAGCCAGTGTGCTCAGTGTGTCTGTTTGTGCTCAGTGTTTCTGTTTGTGCTCAGTGTGTGTGCTTGTGCTCAGTGTGTCTGTTTGTGCTCAGTGTGTGTGCTTGTACTCAGTGTGTCTGTCTGTGCTCAGTGTGTCTGTCTGTGCTCAGTGTGTGTGCTTGTGCTGTGTGTCTGTGCTCAGTGTGTCTGTGCTCAGTGTGTCTGTGCTCAGTGTGTCTGTGCTCAGTGTGTCTGTGCTCAGTGTGTCTGTGCTCAGTGTGTGTGCTTGTGCTCAGCGTGTTTGTGATGAGTGTCTCTGTGCTCAGTGTGTTTGTAATGTTGACATTCCTGGGCCTATGTGCCACCTACATGGAGGAACATGTGGTCACGAAAACCAGTCGAGCTGAGGATGGTATAAAGCAGCAGCCTGAAAGACCTTCTTTGAGTGCCTCTCCTCCCTTTGATCTCTGAAAGGAATCCCACTAAACAATAGCAACAAATACGAGGCTTTTCTTTTCATCTCTGTGGCCCGATGTAATCGGTTGCAGGCATTTTTACGCGAGAGATGTTTTCGCTCCTGAAAAAACAACAATGAAGCCTATGCAAGCGTTTATGTTTTTCCAGTCACAATAGGTTTTTAAGTGTTAAGTCTGAAAGGTCCACTTGGAAGTCACCATGTAGAAAGTTAGATACTGGTGCAGAAAAAAGGAAAACAAAGAAATTACTCAGCCTTTTATGCTTCTGAAATCCTATCACCTATGTATGTATGCAAGCATTTATCATGTGTAATTCTAGGAAGACCTTTCTTATTTCCAGAAGTTAAAGACCTCAAGAAAAACTTTTAAAACCTGTTAGGGAGTTGTGCGTATGTAAGTCACAATATCTGCCGTTTCACGCTGAGGTTGCCGTGAAATGGATACCACAACAGTAGTGGTACCAAAACAGTAGTGGAATCCTATTGCTCGGTTTTACATTAACTTTGTTGATGAGAAAATGAAGAATGTGTGAGCGAACTGAACTGGAGTTCATGAGATTACTGGTTTAAACTGCTGAAGGCACCTAGCTTTTGTTCATTCGGACGAGGCGTATGAAACGCTGGCTGGCGCGTTCAGCTGTATAAAAGGGACGGCGTACGAGTGTCAGATACGGAACTCACCCTGCCGCTGGGGAAATGTACGACCCAGCTGGTGCTTTGAGAGCGGCTCGAGTGGGTCGGCTCGGTCCGGCGGCCTTTCCACCTCCCCTCAACGCTGCGCTTTCTGGTCGTAGGTGGGAATGTTCAAGATTCACCCTGAGATCCCGGAGCTCATGTCCGTGGAGGCCAAGGCCTTCATCCTCAGGTGCTTCGAGCCGGACCCAGACAAACGTGCCTCGGCCCTCTACCTGCTCACCGATGAGTTCCTGACGGTCACCAGCCGCCGGAAGAAGGGAAAGAGCAGCTTAGCAGGTTCGCGAAGGGGCCGTCCAGGAAGCAGAACGATGGCTTCTCATAAGCCACGCACATGACGGGGTGACCTTGGCGTTTGCCTGTCAGAAAGTAGCTACTTCCTTAGCATCTGGTCGTGTGCCTTCCTCATCACTTTGCACTGTTTCCCTTCCCTACATAGTTGCATTTTGCATGTGTAATTTCATCATCATTTTATCACATTTGCTGATTTGTTGTTGTTTTGTTTTTTTCTGTAGCTCCGACTGCAGGAGCAGGTAAAGTAACATCACCCAGTTTGCCATCACACTTCAGCAGTGAAAAACCATTAAGACATAAGAACATAAGAAATTTACAAACGAGAGGAGGCCATTCGGCCCATCAAGCTCGTTTGGGGAGAACTTAGCTAATAGCTCAGACTTCCTTAAACTGTTAACAGAAATTGAAAAGGTCTGTCTACATGATATGCAAGAAAAAACATAAAATTATGAGAAGGTTTTACTTACTATCATTCCTGAAAATGGGTGACTGTTGGCTCCCTGGTAACAGAACATCGCTGATAATGTTCCACCTCCCTGGGTAGAGTTTAACGCCCCCGGGCCAAACCGCAGTCCGGCGCCTGCAGATTGAGGAAGATGCCGTCCCTCCTGGTGGCACTGGGCCACACTGTCCCCAGCAATGCAGTGCATGTATAGAAAGCCAGCTCTCGGTGTCCCATGATGCCCCGGCCGGGCACACACCCTAACGCAGACCTCGCCCCTCTCCCACACGCAGAGTATCTCCGCAGCATCTCCCTGCCCGTGCCCGTCGTCGTCGAGGACACCAGCAGCAGCAGCGACTATGGCTCCGTGTCCCCCGATAACGACCTCAACTCCAACCCCTTCAACTTCAAGCCCAGCGTCAAGTGCTACAGTGAGCGAGAGGTCAAAGGTCACCGGTCCCTCTTTCTGAGGTACGGGATGTGGGGCGTTTCTCGATACCAAGAACGCAAATGTCGTACTTGTGGTCCTGGAAAGACCAGTCTTGCTAACTTGCCTCCCAAGAACGAACTTGGGGTTCAATGAATCAGGGAATTGTTTTTTTTTGGCAAGGTTGGAGCCAACGTATCCTTGACATTTGCGCCAAGGCAAAAACGGCATCATAGGTTTTTCCTGTCCTCCATACTTCTGTTCTTAGAGTTGGAAATGGTTTCCGGCAAAGGAAGATGACATACGATGGGTACAGGAGAACACAAGTACAGTCAAGGACGCATATTAAGAAACTCCCATTCTTACACTTACACAAAGCCTCGCTTTAGCAGCTGACTCAACAACGGGTTGATTGTTTTTTTCGGACCGGCGGCCTTTGACTTTGCAGCCTCTTGCCTTTGGTTCCCTCCAGCATTCCTGTTGAGAACTTTGAGGACCACAGCGCTCCACCATCCCCCGAAGAGAAGGATTCGGGCTTCTTCATGCTGAAGAAGGACAGCGAGAGGAGGGCCACTCTGCACCGCATCCTGACGGAGGACCGCGAAAAAGTGGTGACCAACCTGATGGAGGCACTCACGCAGGTGGGGGCCCGTTCGAGGGCCGGCTGGGGGCCCGCTCCAGGGCCGGCTGAGGGTCTGCCCCAGGGCCGGCTGGGGGCCCGTTCGAGGGCCGGCTGAGGGCCCACTGGGACAGTGAAGGTCCTGCCATCTTTCTAACGCCCTTCCCCTTTTCATACCACCGGCAGGGAACAGAAGAAACCAAACTCAGCTGGCAGAACATCTCCACCCTGGTGGTCAGCCTGGGCAACTTCGTCCGTATGGCCGACCGCAAAATCATCGCTTCCACTCTCTCCCAGCTCAAACTGGAACTGGACTTTGACAGCACAGCCATTAGCCAGCTCCAGGTGGTGCTTTTTGGCTTCCAGGATGCGGTAGGTCCCTCTCATACATATTTTATGTCGGTGATGTCTTAACCAGTATGTAAAAATAGTAAAATCAGAACGGGTGCATTTGTTATATTTGAATGGTTTTATTCAGCAGTTAGCTTTCAGCGTGAAAAGGGAAGTCTGTCAGAATAAATGCGTGTCAGGAAGGGAGAATGACTATCCTTTGTTTTACAGACACGTTTATTCATATCGCACTCAAATTGTTGGCCTGGTTATGGGCCCTCATGTTTTGTTCTGTTGAATTTATTATTATGTAATTCTGTTTTGGATGGGACCCTGGCGCCCCCTTGTGGCTATCCTTTAAACTAATTACTAATATGTGGATTCTCCTTGCATTTTAATTTTATCACATTATCAGTATATGTGTTTAGTCGATGGATTTTTATTACATTTATTTATTATTACATTTATTTAGTTTTTGTCCAAAGCAATATACAGCAAGGCATATATATATTAAAAAAGAATAGAGGTGTTTTATTCATTCCTGGGGGGCGTTGGGTAGTGGTTGCATATGCGATCTGACTCCATGAGAGGCATACAGATACATGTATATACAGGCAAGGACAGGACACAAGGTCAGCCAGTGTCCAGCCAGAGCGCCTTGTTCGAGGGATTATTCCGCCTGCTCTGGGATCTGAACCCATGACCTTCTGAACATGGGCAGGGGTCTCTACCTTGCTGAAAGGTTCTAATTTATTAAGCTGCAGTTCACTGCTGGATTTCACAATCACTGAACTTGTGAAGTGGGGACAAAATATGTTGCTGCTTGACTATCTTGTAAACAGGCACTTAATGATGCTTAGTGTGCATGAACCCTTTTTGGATAGCTAACCGTGTGGGGGCGTGTCTGTCTGTGGGCGTGTCTGTCTGTGGGCGTGTCTGTCTGTGGGCGTGTCTGTCTGTGGTTGCCGTGTCACCAGGTAAACAAAGTGCTGCGGAACCACAACATCAAGCCTCACTGGATGTTTGCCCTAGACAACATCATCCGGAAGGCTGTTCAAACGGCCATAACCATCCTGGTGCCAGGTGATTGTCCTCTACAGAGTGCTAATGGAACTAAACGTAGCCGTTTGCTTCAGAAAAGTACGATGATTGGATGCAGGGTTGCAGAGTTCCTAAGATTAAAATGACAGTGTTACATTTTCAGTCTAAGTCATGCGTGTAAAAATAACAAAGGCTGAAATTATACTGATCTGCGAGTGTGACAAACCGTCACAATGAAAATGAATGAAAGTTTGTCTCATATTTCTGGCAGAAAACAAGAGGCATTGCACTGCCTTGTCAATCTGGATTCTGTTGCAGCCCAGTATAAACTTCGATGTAATCATCGACATCAGCCAATATTGGCCAGTACCCAGCATGGATCTGATTGCCAATAATCAGTATTCAATATCAATACCAATATCAATATTCAATCAGTCTGTCTTTTTACACAGAATAAAAACAGCAATGCAGCGTAATTCCGCTGACCGGCACCGATTTTGTCGTTGGCAGAGCTGCGACCACACTTCAGTCTGGCCTCGGAGAGCGACGCAGCCGACCAGGACAACGGCGAGGACGACACGGAGCCGGAGTCCAGCGCAGCCCACCAGAGTGGCGCCCCGCCCAGCGTGCCGCACGATGACATGGCCGCCACGTCCGGAGTGAGCACGCTGAGCTCCATCGAGTCGCACAACGCTCAGCGCTCCATCAGCATGGAGCTCAGCAGGATGAAGTTGGAGACCAACAGGTGTGGTTGGCGAGCGCGTCCGCGGTGACCATGCCGATCGCCGTGGCGACACTGGTGCCCAGTGCGCTCCAGTTCTTGGCAATATTCAGTGTTATTATAGTTTTCCATTTTTTTATTTTAATTTTTTCAGATTTCACTTGAAATCCAGTTTAGTTTGTTTTCAGCGTGATTTTATTAGTTATGATTTTAAACGCGTTTCTACATAGTTTTTATATATTTTTAACTTTTAGTAATTTTATTTCTAGAGATAGATTGAAAGTTGTAGATCTTTAGACCAGTGTTTCCCAACCCAGTCCTCGGGGAACCCCGGCCAGTCCACGTTTTTATTTCCTCTCTGCTCCCAGCGCACCTGTACCAGGTATTCGGTGTTCCTGATTGGCTGGGAGCTGGGAGGGAGCCAAAACGTGGACTGTCCGGGGTTCCCCGAGGATTGGGTTGGGAGACACTGCTTTAGAGAACTCGACATGAATACACAGTGTATGCTATGTACCACTGTCCTCAAAATGGGCAAAACATGTTCCATGTATTAGTGGTAACTAAAGATAAACCAATCATTACTATAGCTAAATAGTATTTTAAAAGAGTATCAGAAAGTGTTTGATGTTTGTTTTTGAGTTTTGGAGGCAGCATTAATAGTTAATTTCAGTTTAGTGAAACTTCAGTTTCCAAAAATGTTTTCTTGTCACCGGGAGTAACCCTCCCTCTGTCGCCTGCTACGCGTGCTGAGGGCGTCCCATGGCCCCCACCACCCACACGTATGGCTCACTACACCAACGCCACGTGAATCTTTCAAGCGAAACCACCAGCATCTGCTGGCCAGCGAGTCGTCCAGTCTGCTGACTCACTCGGCGGCATTTGCGTGTCTAAATACCGAAGGCCTCGCTGACTAGCCAGAAGTCGCCGGCTCGCTAATGTCCCGCCTGCTTCACTGGCGAGGTTTGCAGGATCATGTCGCCGTAAATGTCACCAGCTGGACATTGCTGCCACTTTTTCCTCCTTTGACCTTCGCTGATGTTGAGGAGCCGATGTTCTTCTGAAGGCTGTGATATATGCGTTACGCCACTCTGCCACTCTGTCACTCTGTTTTATCTGTCATCGCTGCTGCTCTCCCGCCTTTTCATTTCCTATTAATAAGTAAATTCCATACATGCTGTACCCAGTAATACGTCAAAGTTTGTGAGTTCTACAAGAAGAGGCCTTTATTTAACATACAATAGAAAATGAACCTTAAAGTGAACCTTTATCTAAATGTTAAATAAAGGCAAGGAAGGGCACGAATAAAGCAATAATATATTTTCATTGTAAACTGAAGAGTGCTGATTAACAAATATGATATGATTGCATGCAAATTTATGTGAGTTGCTTCGGCAGCCGTGACTTGATGTAAACACCTCTTGCCACTGCTGATCATGTTACAAAAGTCAATTCAGTTTGATCATGTTACAAAAGTCATTTCAGTTTCGGCGCCCAGTTCAAGGATATTGCCACAATCTATGCTGCGGCCTTTCAGCCATGAATCAGTTTGCTAATCTGCTCCACCGCCGACTGGGCACTCACAGGGTTAACAGATGATAAACAGAAAAATAATAATAAAAAATCCCCACTCTTTCTTGCCCCGCCCCCCCTCTGTCCGTTTGCGGCTCTGCAGGTTGTTGGAGGAGCTACTGGAGAAGGAGAGGGAGTACCAGTACATTCTGCAGCAGGTCCTGGAGGAACGGGAGAAGGAGATAAAACTACTGAAGAGTAAAGCTGAGCCTCCAGGTTGGAGTTCATACTACAGGCTGAATCATCAGGCCTTGATTCTATTAGAAAGTGTTGAATTGTGGAAAGGGAAATGTTTTAGTATATCTGCAGTACATATCATGCAGTTTCTACATTTAATATCCTCAAAATCTCATAATGCTATATAAAGAGGGATTTATGGAACACGTTATTAGTTATATAACTAATGACATGAATGAGATTTCACTTATAAAAGCCACACACTATACTTACTGCCTGTATGCCGTTTCCCCACAATTTTCACGTGTGTTTCTCGTTTTCTGCACATTACGGGGGGAAAGGCTGGTGTTGAGCCGATCTTGTGCCACAGGTGACCCACTCAGGGAGCGGACCCCCTCGGGCTGGGAGCCCAGGGACGCGGAGCTGGCCGAGTGGCTGAAGCTCCATGGCGCCGACGAGGACGCAGTGACGAAGGTGGGCAGACCGGGTCACTTCCTGTCCACCTGTTTGGGCGTGACGGCCGTGATGCCATCACTTCCTGTCTACCTGTTTGGGCGTGATGGCCGTGATGCCATCACTTCCTGTCCACCTGTTTGGGCGTGACGGCCGTGATGCCATCACTTCCTGTCTACCTGTTTGGGCGTGACGGCCGTGATGCCATCACTTCCTGCTCTATATCTTCCTTCAGTGTTTGTCTGCATGTGGTCCGATTGCATCTCAGTGCCGCTCAGAGATCTTAGACTCTGCCGTTGCATTCAAGCTTCCTGCCTGCAGCCGCCAGCTAGCGCCTGTCGAAAAAAGCATCCTGCTTTTTCGCTTGGGGGGTGGTGACCAGTCTGCTTTCTCTCCTACCCCCAGATCTTAGCAGAGGAGTATACACTGACTGACATTCTTCTCTGTGTAACGAGAGACGACCTGAAGGGTCTGAGATTAAGGTAACCCACGCCCCCTCCCCCTTCAAGGCCGACCGACCATGGGGGGGGCATAGTGTGAACGGTCAGGAGAGAGAACAAAATCCAAAATTAAAATATATATATATATATATTATGTATAAACATAAACTCAAATGTCTGTGTTTGTTCTTGAAGTGAGGATGCAGAGAAAGCCTTTTCCTGTCTTTGATGACATTACTTTTCTTTTCTTTCTCTCTTTTTTTTACAGAGGGGGAATTCTGTGCAAACTTTGGAAAGCTATTACGGATCACAGGGAGAAGATGAAAGCCCCGGATGACTGAGCCCGCGCCCGGCGCCTCGGAACGCCCCCATCCAGTATTCGCTATACCAACCCGCACTTTACTCTCCGTATTTATTTCCCCAGAACTCTTCCCAGTCGTACCACTTTCTCATTAAAACAAATGGTAATTCCAGGTTTCAATTAGTATTGAGTGCTAAAATATTAGCATACTAATGTATTGCCTTACTACACTTTTTCCTGGTGTAAAGCAAATTTTGGAGTCGCATCATGTGGAGTCAATATTCGGAGACCAACAATAGTCAATTTACTGTCCCAGTAAATGATGACATCATATACCAGTTAGTGCCATTTGATGTTGTACTATAGAGGGTCCATATGAACAGGTAGTGAGTAATAATTTAATAACTGGTAAAACTGAATAACTTCTGTACATACTGGTGAATCTAGTTTTTGTTAATGATTGCTGTTAAGAAATGAGATGGTTGTGTGCATTTTAATGATGCATTTACTTAAGCCTGAGATTTTAATCTTTTTTTCTGAACCATAAATCCAAGAACCACAGCTCTGTGTGTGAATATCGAACTACACTGCCTGAGGGTAGACCTGCTAGATATTTGTTAGTAATATGTTTGTTTCTTAATTTTGTTAATTGTGATATTTAGATGGAACCTTCCAGACTTGAAGTTATGGATTTGTCAGTGTGACTGATTCATTCACCAGTAATATTTTGTGAAGAGATTTTATAACGATATTCTACAGGCCTTAACCAGCTAGTCTAGTGTATTCCTGCATTTTACTGATGTTTACATGGAGAGTTTGTGAACCTAAGTCCCGACATTACAGCTGTCGAACTTAAGATCCACAACCCGGATCCAGCCCGGTAATGGTTCTAATGCGGACCAAAACGTGATAACGTGATTTTTAAATAAAATTTTATTGGTAGGTTGGGATTGTGCACTATAGTCCCAATGAAATCTAATACTCAACAACTTTATTAGGCTCGCCGTGCTGAAATGACAAATACACCGGCATGCAAGGGCTCAAGAAAATCGGTTAGTAAATTAAACAGTACAGTAGGAACGTCGGCAGATTTTTAGTCGTAGTCGGGAGATCAGTATTGCAGCTGTCAAAGAGGGCTATCTAATTGCTAATGAAATAGCAAAATTGTCAAAACTGTGCTCTGGTGGTGAGTTTGTGCGGGCATTCATGCTCGAAGCTGCAGGAATCATGTGCTTCAAAGGGCGCCACACTTTGGCGAAAGTCATCCTGCCGAGAAATGAGGGTGCAGACGGCACGTCACGGACTGCGGCTTCGCTTTATTCGTCGCTGTTCGATGAATATCTGTATGTTGTAACTGCATTGAACGGCAGCTATACGGCTACCTAAATGGCATCGCAGGCAGGTGAAGTAGTTTACTTGTCACTATTTGTTACCAGATGTTGTTAGTCTTGCATTATGCCGGTAATCACGTTTTGATATGCACCAGTAATGTTCTGTGATTAGCCTAGATAGGGGAATTGGAAAATGAACATTTTTCATAAGGAGCTGTAGTCTGCTCATTAGTTGTAGGCTATTTATGATCAAATTGTGCATCATGAATGTACATTGCTATCCTGCTTGTATAAATGAGGAAAAACAAACAGCAGATGTATTGTTAATATGTTGGGAGTCCACTACATAGATTTACTTGATCTGAGATTGGATTGGGAAAAATATGGTGCCAACTGAAATATAAATGAGTCTGACACCTCGAGGGACAACAACTTTATAGCAGAATACGTATACAGGCGTGATTTGCTGTCAATCTTTTTGGAGAAAAAGAGTCGTGAAACAAAACTGAGCTTAGGATAGCATCTTTTGTACCGGATTTAAAATATTGTACAATGTAAATGAAAATACTATACAATGCAACTAAACCAGAGAATGACGCCTTTATAAGACATATATAGGGGAACAAATATTTTTATTGTAAATGCAATCAACGTGGTATATGCGTGTTATAACTGTATATAAATTGTATATCCCAAAGCAACTATATTCCCAGTTTTAAATAAATATAGATGTTTAAAATAGATATTCATTTCTTCTTGATTTGAAATTTAAGTTAAATGTGGCTTAACTTACTATAACATCATGCTGTGATGGTTAAAACGTAATTTTTCAAAAAAATAAATAAAACAATTAGACTGTGTGTTTATTTTCCTAAAGATATATTCCCAGCCATGGTAATCTAATGTAAAGAATCTTACTGTCTTCAAATCTGAACTGTAAAATAAAGTGTGCAATTGAACATACAGTTTGTCTTTTCTTACTTTGAGGCCAAATGCTATGTAAAGTAAATAGCAAGATGAAGGTCATGATTTCCCTGCTTTTGATTATGTATTTCTGAAATGAAGCTAAGTAACTTAAGAAAACGGTTTCCTACCTTTTTACCTTGTTCAGAACGATGTGATTAGGGGCCTGTCCTGTATTGGATATTATTCATAGTTGTGGTTTCAAGTAGGCTTATATGCTGTATTGAGTTAGCACATCCTGTAAGTATGTACCTATTTGTAGGGTAATTGACAAGAATTTCACAGGATCTGGGATAAATCTGAGCGACGTGAGGGATTTCACACTGACATGAGCATCAGTACGTGCAGATAGACTGCAAACTTGAATGCCGAATGTGCAAAATATCTACCGCAATTTTCTCCCCTAACTATGGGTTTGTATCACCACACTGGATTTTTGGTCTGGCCTAAATGTAAGTAAACTGCGGTACCTTAAATCCGAGAAGTCCGGCTAAGCAAGAAACCCTGCTTCCGGCCCGGCGGCTCGTCATTAAAAGCACAATATTTGCTCCGAAACGGAACACAACTCCTCCTACAGCACCGCATGAAATTATTGTCATATAATATATCAGTGGATAGTGGTCTCTTTACTAGTCACGATTTAACAGATAATTTTAACTCGACATATAATTTGTTTCATTTGAAATGTTCGCATGTTGCAGTATTTGGCATCAATCAGTTCCGCAGGTGGGCGCATTCGGCTCCGTTCGACACGACTCGGCGCGGCTCGGCACCCCCGACGTACTAATGACGTCAGTGGGTCTGCTGGATTGAGCTGTTACACCCCGCCCGGTGCTGAGATCCCAGCAAAGTACCACCATATTATAATAAGGTTTGCTTTCATCATTGCGGAGGACGAGGACGCTCACCTGTGCTGAGCAAAAACATATGATCCGATTCATTCTTCTTTAAAAATACTTATTTTTACTGCTGATTTTTGCGTGTTAAAATATGAGAAGGGGTTCACTTAATATTGTACAGTAGCCGAAAGCAGTTTTAATAAACTGCGTAATTATGCCGTCTTCTGCTTCGCGTCAGCAGCTGTCAAGGATCGCGTTCGTGTTGCTGTGGATGATAAATTGCGCTTCGGCCAAGTCGCCGCAGTTTTCCGATTTGAAATCGAAGATCTCGGGGGTAGAAGAGCTGCTGGAGGAGTTCAGAAAGCAGCTGCAGCAGGAGCAGGCGCTGAAGGCGGAGGATGGTGTAGGGGACGTGTGCTTGAGCGGCTTCAACGCGATCGAGGGCCATATCATCCGGGCGAGGGACTCCATCGAACTGGGTGCCACCTTCCTGACGTCCCCGGCGCCGGTGTACAGTTGGAAGGCTTGCCTGCACGCCTGCTGTGCCGACCCCCGCTGTACCGTGGCGGTGGTGCAGGAGGACGCCAAGCAGTCGGACGACAGTCTCAGCTGCTTTCTTTTCAATTGCACTTACAGGAACAGGAACGTGTGCACCTTCTCTCTGCAGCAGGGCTACAGCACCTACAGCCGAGTCCGTAACTCGTCCGGCTCCGGCCCCGCTACCCTAAGCACGGATTTATCCAGGCAGAGGGTCCAAGACTCGCTGACAGCTGATGACTCACAAGGTGCTTACTTAAGTGCTTAATACTAAATAATGTATTGGGTTCTGGGTCCGGCTTGGAAACACAGGATCCCTACTAAATGTGATAAACCAGATTTGAAACAATATAAACGGTATTGGCAGCTCATCTGTGGTACTCGGTCAGTTACAGCGCTAGAAGTAATATGTATAATGTGCTGTTTTTGTGGCTTCCTGTTCATCTCCAGTAGCACGTGTGAAATATTACCAGTAATGTAAAAGTAACCCTAAACAGTTAATATAAACTAGTGTGCGATCCATTTGGAATAAACCTGCTGGTAGTTTTGTGATTTTTCATTATGAGCGCGAACCGGACCGGTTCTTCTCACGTGAGTCGAACTGTCCCCCGGTTCGGTAACTGGGCGCCTGGGTCGTGTTTCCAGACCCGGACGAGCCACCGCGCAGCGACGCCGGCCAGGACGTGGTGATCCAGCTCCCAACGGACTGGGCAGTGCTGGATGGGCGCAACAGCGTGGACGATCACGGCATCAACCGCTACGAGTGGGTCCTCATCCAGGGAGATCCATCCATAAGCATGAAGGTACTGTAGGAGACAGCGCTGCTTCGGCTTAAAGTACCGAAAGACTGTTTCCATTCGGTTCCTGATGTTTTGGTTGTTTATCAGTGTCTGATAAAAATATGAGAGCTGTTGTATGGAGATCCCATAAAGCCGCGTTATATCATGCGAATGTCACGTCAACCTTATTTTAACACGTGGACAGATATAAACTTAATGGATATTTGTTCTAGATCTTGTGTAGTTTTAGGTCAACCTGATGACAAATGCACAAAAAAACGATTCTATTTTCTGCATCGAAGATAAGAGGTTTTTATGTTCTAACCCATCTCACAGTACAAAAGACCCATTGTATGTACTGCTGCTAGCAGACCTAGTCAGGTGAACTAAAGTTGTATGGCTTTCTTTCTTTCTTTTTTTTTGGATTTTAAAATTTTATTCTATTTTTCTCGCACTGCACGTGCATCAAATTCTTTTGTGAATTCTGTTCTTCTGTGACTCGCATCGCTTTTGTTATTTTCTAAATAATTTTAGACTCCACTGATTTACGGCCTGCTCTTTTATGCATGAAATGAGTGCGTAGAAGGTGTATGGACTTGTAGGATTCAGTGGAGGTAAGTTGATATACCCAGAAGCACGTGAATTTTTACTATGAAGTCCGTCTCTTACTCACTGCGTACCAAATTTGACGGCTGGCAGTTTAGCGTCTGTTTTTTCATGTAACTGGAACCTCCGGAATAAAGGCTGTTAAATTGTTAAACTTCGTCTGACACACTAGGGAAGATGGCCTGCGAGAGAAGTATCTAGATGCTTTGATCGGCTGTCTCTCGGTGCAGCCATGATGTGGTGTGTGAGAGCAAGCCCCCCCCATCTGCTGTCCCCGCACCTGTCCCAGGTCTCCTAGGAAACGGGTTGCTGACTTAAGGGATGGAGGAAAGGGGGAGTGGCTAATCAGGGGTGGCAAATCACAGTTACCTTCAATGTCTTTCTCATCTTGGCTTGTAGGTATTTTTATAAATATCTTTTGCCAGATATTTGTGTTTGGACAGAAAGTTTTTTTTTTTTTAACAGATGTGGGAATTTCGGGTCCAGAAAGTACATATTCAAACCAAGATTTTGTTTCAGCCAACCTGTTGATTATTCTATAACTGTGACTCTTTAGTCTCAGCCGGCTGGTTGAAACAAAGTCTTGGTCTGGATTACTTTCTGGACCTGACATTTCCATCTCTAGTTTTTGACTGCAGAAAGTTCTACATTATTAGTCTGGTTCTGAACTGGTAGCACCCAACAAAGCATCTCTTTGTTGCTGTATTTGCTCACATAGTTTCGAACCTTTAAACCTTGAACCTTTCAAATTTAAAAGCTGCACAGAACAACAGTGATCAACTACACACTCAGCTCAAAAATAGTTTGCTAAAATAAAATGTGTTTATTATGATGAATATGCTTCTCTGTTGTGCTGATAGACTGTAGAAACATACAGACTGACATACAGCACACAAAACAAGGCAGGTTGTGACACTTAGGTCACTGGTCTGATTCTGGCTCAGAGGAACATGGATTTGCGGGCAGTGTGTTGCTCAGCGGTTAAGGACACTGTGCCTATGATGGAAGGTCGTTGGTTCAATTCCCACCAGCAGCTTAGTGACTTCACTCGCTCTGGATAAATGTCACTCTAGATAAATGCACTTGCTAAACAATTATGTAAACTAAAATGTACATGTCTGTGGCTCTCCAGAAGTTGAGCGCCGCCATGGGGAGTAACAGTGGGCACCTGCTGGTCCAGCTTCTGCCATCGTCATGCTATGGAGTCTCCTGTTGTTTATAGGTGACCCAGCCTGGGATCCTGAAGCTGAGTGACCTGCAAGAAGGCACCTATGTCTTCCGGATGACCATCACGGATACGGCGGGTCAGCGGAGCTCAGACAATGTCACCGTCACTGTGCTGCCACCGCGCCAGCAGCCAGAGGGTGAGTCTGCCCCGATTTCCGGACCCCCCCCACCCCGGCTGCCCTCGGTTGAGGATGTGCGTAAGGTGTCTCTGATGCTGTCACACCATCACTCATAGTAAGCAAACCATTCACTTCCTCTCCAAAAGGACAAAGCTAATGAGGAGTGGTGTCACCTTCTCCACAGTGATGGTGATGAACAGACCAAAGGCTGAGATGTCATGCAGTTAGTTATGAACGGCACCCGGGACTTTGGGCTGAACAGCAGCATGTCCGGTATTAAAATATTTTAGAGAAATATCAGTGCTGACATGGATTTGGATGCTATAGTGCCATGAAAATATGTAGATGAGTGTGTGTGTGCGTGCATGTCTGCGTCTGTGTGTGTATATATATATATAAAATAGGTGTTATTTATCATAATTCAATGTGCATGTATGTAAATTCAAACTCCTTATTACCATAACATTTTCCTGACACAACATCATTGAGTGTCTGACCAGCTCTGTCAAATTACGCTCGATTTGTCTGGTTACACATGTAGGATTTTGTCCCGCAGCACCTCGCCATATGAATGAAATGCGAGAGCTACATTAGAGATGGGTGACTCTGTTTACATGCTCTGGTTGCTGGTGGGGGGGGTCACATGACATGCCGGGGAGAGTTACATGACGTCGCGACATCCGCCCTCGGCAGTGTGTACGGGCCGCTGCTCTCGCTACCAGTTCCTGTGTGACGACGGCTGCTGCATCGACATCACATACGCATGCGACGGCAAGCAGCAATGCACCGACCGCTCCGACGAGGCATTCTGCCAGAACTGTGAGTCCCCTCCCCGTCGCCATGCCAACCACTATGCACATTAGCCCCCACATGCCATCTAACATTACACTAAG